TATATATATATAATGGACCTGTTGGTTCTTCTCTTGCCTAGACCGAACCGGTGTTGGGCATTCACGGCTGACACCGCATGATTGGGGCGAGGACGCCCCACTTCAGAAACAAGGTTGCCCTTTGATTATTTGTTATTGGTTATTTAGTTTTAGATCATGTGAAAGATTGATTTAGTTCACAACCTCTTAAAATAGGGACATAACTAGTTATGTCTTCCAAACTAACTGAAGTTAAAGTTAATGGTGTTACAAAATAAGGGTATATTAGGAAAATATATTTTTTTCTTAAATTTCTTAGTAAATCTAATTCTCTATTCAGTTATTTTCTATTATGCGACAGCTAATTTCATATGCATTAAGAGTAAATTGAGATCATTCAGATTGTGCAGCGAGTTAATTTTTTTTATAATAAATATTTGTATTTAATATTATTTTGATTTCGTTCTAATAAATTATATTTAGTTTAATTTTTGTTACAATGATATCACATTAAAAAAATATTAAAAAAATTATTTATCGCAAAAAATTAACTAGTTTCTCAGCTTGGACGATTTAAAACTACTATTTTACTTGAAATTTGCTGTTGTGCATAAGAAAATAAGGAAATTGGAAAGTTAAATTGGTTAAAAAATTTCAAGAAGAAAATATATTTCTTAAAATACTCTCATTTTTAGCACCTTTAACTTAAATTTCGTTAGTTTTTGAATTTAAAGCTTGATGAATAAGCCTTTTACGTAGTTGGAGATTAAAATAGCCTCACAAAAATAATCAAAGGACGATTTAATTTCTTTCTCGTTGCAGTTGTTTTTGAGCTTTGCTAAATAACTCTGACAATGTATAGCTTTTTATTATTGTTATTATTATTAGTATTATTTAGTATCATACTACAAATTTTTGGTTTCTACTCCGAGTTTTGATGTGATAATATCTTCTCTTCTGTGATATAGGAGAACTCTAAAATGGATTATTTGGCTTCCAGCTCTCTTGAAAGAAACAGCTTTGATGAAAGCCAAGGTGGAAAAAATAGCATTGCGCAAGATGCCTTCTCGGGAAGTGTGGATAATATAAAAGATGATGTTTTTTCTGCTAGAGATCCTACTTTAGTTTTACTTCAAAATCCAGTGATGGGCTCTTTTTCTGATAAAGAAGTTACTGCTGCTAATCCAGAAACATGCAAGGAAAGTTCCTATGCTGTAACAGATGAGCTGGCGAGAATCTCTTCAGTCAATGAAGAAAGTGTTTTAGATGTTGAGCAGGATAATGAAGGAAGCTCCATCCATGATGAAAGTAGCCTATTTTCCTTTGGGACTGGAATGCTGAAAGTCAATTCTCAAAAGGTGAGATAGGTACGGCTTCTGCATACTTTATTTAAAAAAATCAGCTACTTTGAAGTTATAACCTTTGCTAATAAAAACAATTTCCTTTCTTATTTTCAAATGGATCCTGTAAAATGTTTTTCATTATTTAGTGTGTGGAGTGTTGGTTCAAAGCGCCTCTATCTTCCTCTGATATTCGAGAGTACAATTATATCTTTAGCATGATTAAGGGTTAAAGCTAGCCGTTGATTAGTGAAACTTAAGGGAATATAATATCTAAATTAATTGCCAAATTAGGTGTTGATATGCATGTCATTCCTATGTTGCATGGTTTTGTTTATCTTAATAACAATTATTTAATAATCCATTTCAAGGCCGTGAAGCTCTCATCTATAACTGGTGCTCAAGAGCTGAGTCAATTTAGTGATGCCCCAGGAGATGCTTTACTGGAGGATTTATTTCAGCCACTCGATAGGGTTCCAGGAGATCAAGTTGTACGAGCTTCATCTTCTACCAGCGCTCATGGAAATGTATTATATGAGGGTGGTAGAAGTGACCTTGCGAAGGAACTAAAAGCAAGGATGGCCCAGAAACATATAGAAAATCAAATTGAACACCGGAAGGGTGGGAAGCTTCTGGAGTATGTGAGGGGTGTGATTGACATTGATGATCCGGTATGCCTATTTGCATGTTGTATTTAGTTGAATTAAATGATAACCTGCTGAGGATTGTTTTATTTTTATTATTTTTTTTTCCCATAAAAGCAGTTTTAATGGAGTCTGTTATACATTAAAGCAGGATCTCAGTGTCCATATTGACCCATAGTAATTCTTTTCTTCTGATAGGTTTTTGATGAAAATTTGCCAGCAGAGAACATTTTTCTTATCCAGGTATGTCTTTTTCTGCTAATTTGATACTTTGGGAAGCCGTTAAATTTAACTTATTAGCTGATTGATTCAGCACAGAGCAACTGTCGCCCGATATACATTTATTCCATGACTCATAATTTATTTATTTTATTTTATTTTATTTTTCAATTTGCTTGTCTTCAATGATCAGGGATGGTTTTTCACTTTTTTGTTTACACGCATCAGGTCATGTTTGCTTTAATATTTTGTAATAGCTAATTCTTGTGTTAGTGTTTATTTAGATTACTTGTTCCACATGATTTATGTTCTGTTATGTTATTCTTTAAATAAATGCTAAGAAAAACTCTCCTTTTTGTTTGTCGATTACAATTTTTACAGTAATTGGGATTGTTTTGTAAGTTATGGTGGACTATAATTAAATTTTTATTTGGATTCACCATACTTTCACATGACCCTCTTCCTTCTTTGAAATCTTCTGCATGCTGTAGATAGGGTTTTCTTTTGTATTCTGTATTGGTCTTTTGGTTAATAAAGAAAACTGTGCTGTAAAGTGGACCTGATTCCTGATTTTCTGTTAACAGTGTTGCTCAACAAAATTTTGAAAGCATTTCATGATGCTTGATATCGGCATTCAGAGTGCTTCCTATCTCTTTAAGTATATTGTTGCTAACTCTGAAGTTTCTATCTCAATTTTCAGTTGTGCATGCAACAATTTTCAGTCATCAGCCTTGAAACATGCCTCTACATTTCTCCCTGTTGTCCGCCTATCCAGCCCACAAGCCAGCTATCCACCCCCTTGATGTACAATGAAGTTTGATCGTGCTAGCCTCTACGCCTCCTGCCAACCTGTCATCCATTCACTCTCATTTCATCGTGGTCAATTGCCATCTTATTGATCCATTCGATTCTTGTTGCCACATTATCAATCCATGGTTTCTTCTATTGTAATGAATTCTGTAGTTATATTTTAGCGCGAAAAGTCTGTACTTTTCCTAATAGAAGTTATCCTTAATTTGTATAAAATCAACGCAAATTATGGAATGAATAAGAAAATTCATTACCTTCAATTCTTTTCATGATATTAGAGACTTGAGCTTTTTTTTTTTCTATATACTTCCGTAAGAAATCACATTCATTGTTGTGTTTTTTAGATCTTGTAGACTTTTATTATTGCAGTTTTTTTAAAATTATTTGTGAAGCACTTGGCTCAACGGGGAGTATTCTCACTATTGGTTCTTCCGGCAACATGATTGTGTCATGTAGTAACTTGAAAGGAATTGAAACTTTAAAGTAAAGGATATTCCAATAATTTTAAGTAAAAGATTTAGGCAAACCGGAATACTTGGAAATGAATTGCACTTTAACATGTAATATTACAACAAAAATACTTACAGATCTATTGAAAGAAAGAGGTAAGTTGTGTTGCAAGTCTATCTAGGGGCCCTTGAAATTTAACCATAAGCTTGGAGATTCTTTAGAAGACATAACGCAGAAAATACATCCTACTAGATACTTGTTGGAAGACTTATTCACTTTTTATAATATATATAACATTATGCGATAAGTCAGTTAATTTTAAAGAGTTATATTTTGAGTAGCGTTTCAATTTGACGATATCTTAAAAGAATCCTAGCGAATGAATTATATTAAAAAAGATGGAGGATCTAACAATTATGTCCTACACATGCTGATGTTTATGCATGTTGCATGGTTGATAGGTGATTGACGTGTAGATTTTTATACTTCCTGACACGGGAGCTATCCAGACACCTCCAACCCCTTCTTCCGTGACATGAGCTGTTCTTGCAGCTCTGCTACAAATCCGCGACTATGGCGGGTCGTAGTTTCACGACTGGACTGAACCTATCCAATTTTCTTTGTTTGTTGTGGAGTCAACCGACCCTCTTGGTCCCCTTCCTGTATCCTCTTATTATATATTTCTATTATTGATGTTTTAATATTAGTTTTTCATGTGTTTTGTTTACGAAAGTCACTGATGTCCTTTCTTCTCCCTTCGAGGGATGTATACGAGAGATTGGGACTTGCTCCAGTTGTATTTCTTTCCCGATAGTGATTATCCTTCCCTTTCCCCTTCTGTATCCTCCCACGTCCTCCCAGTCATTCTGTCCCTGCTGCAGCCTCTCGGAACAGCTGTCTTTTTGTAGTTCTTTATCTTCCAACCGTTGTTGCTTGCCGTCGCACCCTCCCGTGATCCCTTTCTTGTTGTCCAACCATTTCAATCCAATTCCAGCTTGCAGTCGCACCTTCAACCGCTTCGAGCTTGCTGTCCACCACCCTGTTGTCGGTTGTCTCACCTTGCTGCAGCCCCTTGCTTGTTGTCCAGCTGCCACACCACTTCCCTAGCTTGCTGCCTCACACTCCAGCAACCTTCTGTTTGCTGTCCAGCCATTAACCCGCCTTCCCCTTACTACTGCAAATTCTCCCTACCTCCTACAGTTCCCCATTTCCACTACATCGACACGCAACTCATCGTCTTCGATCCTATCCCTATAGTCTTTTGTGCTTGTGTCATTGTTTTCCTACTTTTAAGTATCTTATTTGTAGCCCCTTTGAATTGCAGCAATAAAATTATCATTCCGTTGTAGTTTTTATGTTAACTCCGATATCATTTAGTTTATTGCAGCTGCCACACCCAAACTTATCTCTTAAATTTTTTCTTTCTAGGCCTACACCCCCTTACTCATCTTCTTCCACCCACCCACACCCAAAACATAGCCATACAGCCCATGAGATAATTGTTGAAAGCTTGACCGAGGGGAAATGACATAATGCTATTTTTGAGAAATTCACAGAGAAGTGTGTATGAGATTTCTATGGATGATATGCAATGGGAAACTTGCCAACTATAATTGAGGCTCACCACCTTCGAGATGAGGCAATTCGGTTCGGTCACATCTAGCTATAACAATGATTTGTTAGATCGAAGAAATGAAGTGTACCTCTTTCATTATGTGGATTCTTGGTATGAAGAACCTCTACCTCTAAGATTTGACCTTAAAGATCTGAGTAAGTCAAAAATTTGAAGTAAAGATGAATGTCATATTTCTAGGGCTGTCAAAAAAGCTCTTTTTTGTGAACAGCTCGTGTTCGGTTCGCTAAGTAGCTTGTGTTCGATTCGTTCGTTAAGCAAATGGGTCAAACATGAACTGATTTTTTGAACTTGATTTATAAATGAACCGAACATGAACAAGGGTTTGTTCGTTCGTGTTTGTTTTTATTTGGCTCGAATTAATTAAATAATAAATAAAAAATATTAATATAAACTTTATGTATTAAATTTATATATTGTATTTTTTAAAAAAACGAAATTTTATTTAAATTTAAAAAATTTTAGTTACTATTATAAATAAAAAAATAAAAATTTTATATTGAATGTCTAAATACATAATAATGAGGTGGTATCATGAATATGCTAAAATAACTTGCCTTCCCAAACCTACCATTGTCAGTGGTGTGTGTGTGTCTATATATATATATATATCTTTAAAATTTCAATGCATAAGAACCAGCGTTTCCTTTCCCTTGGCGGATTGTTTTAGTTTCACATCGCAGACTTCTAAAAAAATATTTTATCTAGCCTCTATAAATGATGAAATCCTCCTGGCCAACTTTACTTTTAACCCTTAGTTTGATTTTTCTCACAACTGTGAGCTACGATAATTTTAAAATAAAATAAAATTTATAATTAAATTACATCATAAGATTTATTAAATTTTAATAAATCTTTATTTTGAATCGAGCTGAACACGAGATTAATTCGAACAAAAAAATTTAAATTGAGTCGAATATGAACAAGCAATTTACGAGTTATTTCGAACACGAGCCGAACATGAACAAAAAAAATTCAAACGAGTTGAATGCAAACAAAACTTAGGCTCGCCTATGTTCGGCTCATTTACTCCCCTACAAGTTTCGACGGTCACATAAATTTAAATGAGTTCTTCAAGTGGCTCTATGTTCGGCTCATTTACTCCCCTACAAGTTTTGACGGTCACATAAATTTAAATGAGTTCGTCAAGTGGCTCTGAAACTTGGAATGTCTTTGAGTGTCAGGACGTCCACCGGATGGATTTGTGAAAATAGATGCCAACAAGTTATAGAAAAGTGCATTATTTTGGTGGAAAATTTTAAAGCACATACGCCAGCGTGAAAGAAACGATAAGATTACTATCAAGATGAAACGAAAGATGCAACGTCGGTACCTACTAGCTCACTGTAGACCAGTGTTTCAAACTCCAGCTTCAAAAATGGAGAGACATCACCGGGCGACTAGCACTTCTTACAGATGGCTTAAAACCAAGATCTTACAGTCATATTATACCTAGGGAAACATCCGTACGAACCATGCTTGACCTGTATATCTGATTTCTCTGTCTAGCACAATCTTGAAAGCCGTTTTTATTTTTAAATATTGATACCAAAACACTCAAATGATTTAATTCTTCTGGGTCCTCTTGTTTCCACTAATTTTATATACTACCTGTAAATGATCCGTGGAATGCCAGATTTGAAATTGTTTTTAGAAATAAAATTGAAATGCAAATCTCGAAACAGGCCTTATCCATGAATTGCATCGCTATAGCTTTGTAAGATGGAAGCTGCCAAATTGGCATTCCATAGAGATTGTTTATTGCTGCTATTTTTTCATACATCTTTCTGAATTTGCAATGAAGTTTTTGTAGTTGTTTTTAGGTATGTGAATATTCTTAAGCTAAATGAAGAAATTTAGCTTCACTGGATGTGATTACCATCGTTTTTTATTATCATGTGATTTTTTTTTCTATTGCCTTATCTCAGTCTGTAGAGTTCAGCAAATTAATTGGGTTGCTGAAGCCAGAACAGCCGGATGATGTGATTGTGTCGGCATGCCAAAAGCTGCTTTCATTTTTTGTTCAGCGTCCAGAGCAAAAACATGTTTTCATCTCTCAGCATGGGTTTCTTCCTCTTATGGATCTTCTTGAAGTTCCAAGAAACCGAGTATGCAATTTTTTTCTTGTAATAAAGAGGCTGTCTTAAGAGTTCGTTTTCATTTCTTTGTGGGCTTGCTGCACATTTTTTCATTTTTATTTTGAAATTCTTTGATGGGTTTGTTGTGATAAGGTGATGATCTTTATGCAGGTCATTTGCTCTGTGCTTCAGATTATCAACCAAATCGTCATTGATAATGTTGCTTTTCAAGAAAATGCTTGTCTCGTGGGGCTGGTGAGATTGTCTTTCTTCTTCCTGTTTTTTGGTTAACATTTGATTTGTTTGAGAGCTTGTTGATATTTGCTTTAAACTCCAATTGTAGATTCCAGTGGTAATGAACTTTGCAGTACCCGACCGCCCTCGGGAAGTTCGGATGCAAGCAGCTTTATTTTTTCAGAATCTTTGCTATTCCAGGTTTTGGATTCATCTGCATTAATATGATCTTGTTTCCTTCCCTATTGAAAACTCTTCCATGAATTCAGGATCAAATTCTCTCTTATTTCAGCACATTGACATTGCAAATGTTTATTGCCTGTCGTGGTATCCCTGTGCTCGTTGGTTTTCTTGAGGCTGATTATGCAAAATATAGGTATGCATTTTAATCTATTTTTACTCTAAGAATTCGGTTCCTGACACTAGACAACAACCACAAGCCTTTATCCCACTAAGTGGACTCGCTTACATGAATCCTTTTTCTCCATTGCATCTTATTGAGTGTCATATTTTCTATTAATTCTAATAAATTAAGATCATTTTTTGTACAATATGCCCAAATCTTTTTAGATTTACCTTTGTCTTTCTTAACATAAGTTGAATCTAAAATATCTACTCTCCTACCTGGATCATCAGGTGATCGACGTGTAATGTGACCAAACCATCTAAGATGACTCGCTCTAATCTTGTCTACCATTGAAACTACACCAACCCTATCATAAATATATTCATTTCGCATTTTGTCTTCAAGTGTCAAGCCACTCATCCACCTAAGCATTCTCATCTCAGCATCACAATTATTATGCTTTTCTTTTAAAGGCCAACATTCAGCGCCATAGAGCATTGCAGGTCTCACCACCATCGTATAAAATTTTTCATTGAGTCAAAGCGGTACTTTTCTATCACACAATAGGTCCAATGCTTTCATCCACTTCAACCAACCAACTTAAATTCTACTAATAACATCCTCATCTATATCACCATCACTTTAAACAATAGACACGAGATATCTAAAACATTCACACCTTTTAATGATTTGATCACCCACAGTTACAACTCTACAACTATAACTACTACTACTATGTCATGTATTCAGTTTTAGATCCTACTGAAACGAAGATCTTTAGACTCTAATGTAGACAACTCCAGTATATATATCTTTAGTGACTGGAATATAAGTCATATCAACACCTTTCTTCTTTAGAACTCTCCAAAGGACTTCTCTTAGAACCTTACTTTTTCTAAATCAATAAAAATCATATGCAGGTTCTCCTTATTTTCTCTATACTTGTCCATCAAACCTCTCAATAATTGTATAGCTTCCATAGTAGAGCTGCTCAGGATAAATCAAATTGATTATGAGAAATCTTTGTAATACATCTTAGCCTATGTTCAATTACTCTCTCCCATAATTTTAAAGTGTGGCATATCAACTTAATTCCCCTATAATTTGCCCACCCTTGTGCATCCCTTTTATTCTATATGCTTCTGAGTTGTCAGGGAGATGGTTCATCTTGCAATAGATGGCATATGGCAAGTATTTAAGCTCCAGCATACCACGCCAAGAAATGACTTCTGTCGTATAGCCGCCAAGAATGGAATTCTTCTTCGGCTTGTCAACACCCTTCACAGCTTGAATGAGGCAGCTCGTTTGGCTTCCGTGCAAGGTAGTAAAGCTGCAAGACCTCGATCTGGTCCATTAGATAACCTAGTCGTAGCATTAGAACCGCTGCGAAGATCTACTTCTGGGCCTGATTCAACCACGATAGACACAAAGCAGTCTTCTGGAGATGCAGGTAAGAATCATCTCAATAGATGCTTCCTCTTCTTCCTAGACACAGAGACACTAACAATGGCATCATCTACTGCAGCTTTAGAGGAGCATGAACACATGGTCTTGGAAGTTGACCTGATTAAGCAGCAGAGTTCAACTAATTCTGCCAGTAAAACTTCTACTGAAAAGCCTTCAAGACATGTAGAAGTTGCATCAAATGGAAATCTTACTAGAAACTTATCGGCTTCTCAAAGGGAATATATACGCCCTCTGCTGAGCATGTTAGACAAGGAAACTCCTTCTCGAAATGTCTCAGGGCAGCTTGAGTATGGGAGCCACCTTCCTACACTAGAAAAACATGAAGGCATATTACCACTTCTTCATGCTTCAACGGAAAGGAAAACTAATGGAGAACTTGATGTTCTGATGGCCGAATTTGCTGGTAAGTAGTAATTTTTCCTTCTAGTATGGAATATTACTTTGACAGGCATAATGTTAGCTCTGCTGTCAATGCATATGGTGCAACACAAAACACAATGAATCTTTTGTACTTTGAAATGCAAACTAATAACCATTTTAAATTATAAAGCGGGAAGCCATTGTCATTAAAAGACTCAATAGCACAATTAAATCACCAAATGATTTATGATATGAAATTAATATGCAGAATAAATAGTGTTATTTACATCTTTTTATCAATACTAAGAAGTTAAAATGTTATGCTTCTATAGAAATTTGATCTTTACTTTTAAGAATCAAGAATTTAATGCAACTTGCTAAAACTATACATAATGTGGAATCTTTGGATTTTATATTAATCCCTTTTGTGTGTAGGTTTACACATGCATTTATATGTATTTATATATTTGTGACTGTTTTTGGTGCATTTGCTAATTTATGTGTTCATATGCGAGCAAGCGTGAGTGTACTTGCATGTGAGTGTTTGTATGTATACATGTTTATGGCATTATGCTTGCAAATATGTTCTTATACATGTATATAACCATACTTATGCTGCAAAACTATTAATTTTCATTTGTTAAATCTAAGCGCTAGGTTCCAAAGAGATCGATATGTCACCCTAGGGTTATTTAGTGGCCTTTTTTTTTAATTACTTTGCTTGCTTGAAACTCTAATTGCATAATGCTTATCTTTCAACAACTATCTCTTGTGTCCCCACTGAAAAAATCATCTACCCTGTGCTTGTAAAATCACATCTTCAACTCTAATGAATATAAGTTTGTTGCCTCCAATTTCTCTACCTGCACCCTTTGCTTTATGATATCTTTTGTTAAAGGGCTTTATGATATCTTTCACCAAAGGTTGTTTACAATCCCCAATAGTGCCAAGGGCTGATGCATGCTACATAGCCAACTCCAAGGCCTCCTCAGACTATTAACTTTGTCAATTTGGCAGTCTTTGACAGAATTTTCAGATGCTAACATCAAAACTTTTGAGAAGTGTGCTATTTCATGTGTTCTGATAAATCAGCTAAATGCTAATACTACGTGAACTAACATAAAATGAACTTATCAGCATGTGCTCTGATTAATTTGCTAATTGCTTGAATATTATATTTGAGAATGTTGCACAAACTAAAAAATAATCAATTCAAATTTATTATGCCTCAAAATTGGCGCAAATTTTCTTAAAGAACATGTAAAATTGAACAAATATTTTTGTATTTTGACAAATGTGTTAAAATGTTCAAATCTAATATATGAGAATTTTGTGGAAACTAAAAATGTGATCAACACGAGTTTGCTCTTGCTACAACAAGCATAGGGTTTAAGGCTTGTTGTTGTTGCTGTTGTACGGAAAGGGTTCAAATATTTTGAAGGATAAACTTTTTTCTTAATTTAAACAGAAACACATCTAGTTACATGCACCCTTGAGCAGTCTGCCTTGCCTAGCGGACAAGGCCCTAAATCTCATATTTCAAATCTGATCCTGGATGTTCTTAAGATTGGAGTTGATAAGACTAGAACCACATCACAAACATTTTTCTGATAAGTTTAATATGACAAGATTCAATTTTATATTTGTATGAGGTCTTCAAGACCTTTTCCAAAGAAAACTTATTTCAAAATACAAATTTTCAATATCGAATTTTAAGATCAAGAATTTAGATCTACATGGCCAACCATCTATATATGAGGTAAAGTTGATGATATATGTACAAAAACATTCATTGAATTAAACTTAGATTATATTCAAATTTAAAGCTTGATCCTCTACAAGTAAGAGCAGCCTTGACAAGGTTTAAGAATAGAGTTTGAAATTCAAATGCTTTGGTGATAGTTATTGTGTTGATGAAAATTTTCAATCCAAGGAGCCCGTCATTAAAATGTCATTAGATCTCAAAGCGCATCATTTGTCGTGTGACTTTGCCGCTAAATGCCACAACAAATAAAGCGGTTAAGATTAGAGCTTTTTAATTAAATGGTTCATCGTATAATAGTACTATCATATTATAATCATGGATAACTTTCAAATATTTCTCAATAGCTCAAGCCTTTTGAATTGTGAATTGTAGAATGTACTTTATATGACAATGTTTTTTATTAGCTAAGTTTGACTTAAAATTATTACCCTAAAGAATATTCATCTTAAAATCTAGAACTAATAAACGATGTTGGGTACTTTAATCCTCACTTCGAATGACCTTACAATCTTTACAATCTGGACGATCTCTTCTTCTTATAAGAAAATAATTAATTTGTGTTTTATTAGATCCATTATTATAAGTAATAAGATGCGCTCTCTTTTCTTGAATAAAATATTAGTAATAACAAAATAATATGCTAAAGCAAAGTCTAAAATAGTTCTGTCTTCTTCATTAGTCACTCCAAAACCGTAGCCAACATTAATATTTCTGAAATCTTCTACCATTCTGCCGACATGTCCATTTAAACTCCTCCAATAAAAATTATTTTTTCAAGAGGAATCATTTGTATTAAGTCTTCGAAGTCATTCAAGAATTTAACTTTAGGCTTTATATCTAAACCTACTTGAGGAGCATAAGTACTTATAATATTAAAAATATTACTATCAACGATAATCTTAAGGGTTATAATTCTATCTCAAATTTTATTAATTTTTACAACATTATCTTTCAAACTTTTATCTATAATTACACCTACACCATTTTTAGTGCGACTTTTACCGGAATACCAAAGTTTAAAACCTAAGTTATCAATCTCCTTAGTCTTTTCTCCATCCCATTTAGTTTCTTAAATACATAAGTTATTAATCTTTCTATGAATTATAATATCAGCTAATTCCATTAATTTTCTATTGAAAATAACTATATTCCAAGATCTTATCATAATATTAATTTCATTAGTTTCATGGACTAACTTCTTTACTCGCATCCGTTCGTAATGTGGGAAACTTTGCTTATTTGACACTATACTCTGGCGTCGGTGTAGCGGCCCTTGCACACTTTTCACCATATTCAGGTTATACAGCACGTCGCTTCAAGTGGACGCTCTAGTCTTACACAATGATCAAAAGGATTCATGTCATGATTTTTTTCGACAAGTTTTATGTTGGTTGTCGACTACCTAACGCAACCCTCCACTTTTCACATCCGGCCTTGGGACCGACAATGATAGTGTTAACTGGAGGGGTGCAACACGAGGACTTCTCAGGAGGTCACCTATCATAGTACTACTCTCACTCAAGCACACTTAACTGCGGAGTTCTGATAGGATCCGGTGCACTGGTGCTGGTATGGTTTCACCCATTTTGTTCCTCATATATTATAGTCAAATATATGAGTAACGATCCAAATAAAATTAATTTTAATTTATATTAAATGATCAAACTTAGTTCTAATAGATTAATTTATATTTTTTATTCAAAATATTGTTTTTCTATTATATAATTTTTTTTAGTCTTAAAGATAATTTTGTTCAAGAAGAACGTTAAAAACTTTTAACTTACAAAATTATATATTGTTTAAACAATTAATCAAAATTTATATTTTACACATCTAAAATTAAATTAAATTTAATTTGAAATTTACTTTTATCAAAATTTAGATTCTAAATTTATAATCAAATTTTATTTCCTATAAAAAATAGAGATTTTGAATAATATAATTTTTAAAATAAATCCAATCATTTTTAATATATATAAATCTTGGGCGACCAATGCCCTCTTAGATCTCCTCTTGTCTCTGCCCGTGATCAGACCTAAGTAATATCTCTAAATTCTAAGCAACGGCATATGATCCCTTTAAAATATTAAAGAAACTTGTATATACTACTTATTATCTACAATTGACTTTTAGCGTGCTTTTAGTTCTTTTTTATATAGAAGATATCATACTTTATAGACTTGCTATGCAACCTTGAAATTTGGAGACTGTTGTATGTGTTTGTGAGCTTGGAGACAATTTGATAATGCCCTCCCTATCTTGAGATGGCTTCTATTCCTATACAACAGCTATCGTTAGATGCTATTGTATATCATAGATTTTTTTAGATGAAAGAATCATGTAACCATCGATGATCCTTGTTTACCGTAATACGAGTTAGAAATGCTTCTACTGATATACTAGATGAATATTTATAGTTTAAATCTTTAAATAAGAGTTCTTTGGTATCTAGATGAGTTGATGCAAGATTGGTTCAGCATAGACCAATCATCAGATCCATGAGTAATAATAGTAGACATTAATTCTCTTATATTTTCTTCTATTTTATTGTTTCCATAGGTTATTTATTCATTTGAAGTCCAAAAAGAATTTTATTTGCAATGTAAGAATATCAAATATTAAAATATATAATCTGAACTAATTTTTTTATCAAAATAGGGTCCATAATACAAGTCAAATTGGCTTCACAATGACATATCATTGCAGCCTCGCTTTATCAAATCATCAAAATTCAAATCAAAATAAGCATTGACCTATCTTATAAAATCTTTATAGGATTGTTTCATCTTCTATTAGTTTCATTTAGTGAAATTAAACCATGACTACCATCAATTTCATTCAGTTGAATTAAAATATGAAATTATTAATTTAAAAATAACGACTAACTGTCGGTCAACTTTTTCTCGATTGATTAATTATGAAAATATGGTATATGAAAATAATTTTTGAGATTTAATTTAAGTATAAAAGATATATAGTTTGAGTTTTAAAAGTAGTATGTTTTAATTTTTGAAAAATGAGACCAAATGGATCTCATTAGTCTGATAGTTTGCATAATCGTGTCTGATACCGCGAATACTACACCCTCCCGAGAGATAAGTGTAGACCTCAGCGATAGACCCAATCCTGCAAACTAAGAGATTTGTGACATCCGTTTGGCCTGCGAACCTTTTTATGCATGACCGACAAGTTCCCTTATTTAATACAAAAATTAAATAGGGTTTATTTTACCTGAGTTCCAAGTTTTCTATAAAGGCAAGCCCCTATAGTTAATTACA